AAAGCATTGTAAGATGCATTACTGGCTAATCTGCAAATGATTGCAGTCAGTTAAGCTTCAGAAAGAAGCCCCTAATGAAGTGCCTTCAAAAGTGGATCAAAAAGTTTAAAAATGTTGCAGAATAGAATATATATGGATGTTGTATTTCTAATGATATCTGCTAGTTTTGTTTTTACAGAATAACATAGAAAATGATGATATTTATGCATCACAAGAAATTTAAAATATTTTTCTTCTGTTTCAGTATTCCCAATACATGAAAGTTTTGAAAATGTTATCTTCTCTATACATCTACTGATAATGTAATATTGTATGATGTAGAGTGATCAAGTATTATTACTGTAGTTACAGTTAATTTCTGCAAGATGCATTTTTTTAAAATTGAGTTGAAAGATCATATGATTAACCCTACAGAAAAAGGATTGAATGACAGGTTTCTTTCATTTTTAACCTTTCCTTTCATTTGAATAAGTGTATTGTGGATTTAGTTCAATACAGCTTCAGTAATCTCAAAGTTATGTTAACCATATATTACCCATTTGCTTGGTTTTTTGACAATTTTAATAAAGAAATTTTAATGTGAGTCTTTTTGTTATAAAAAACCAAATACATGTATAACAGCATATATACCAATTTAGATTTTGGATTTTAGTTAAAAAGTTAGACTTAATGTTTCTGAAAAGTATTACAAAAGCTGAATAGCAACTTGCCAAATCTGTAGTGTCGTATTTTGTTTTCTAGTAAAACTGCACTCTAAAAATCCTAACAAATGTAAGCATATACCAAGCAAATTCTTGTTACAAATGGATGTTCTTAAGAACATCTGCAATTATTATGGGTTATTCTCAAAACCAGATAACATAGAATGGTGATAAATTTGTTGCATCCCTATAATCTATACAGTGAATCAATGTTCCTGTTATATTGTGTTCAAAGAAGTGTACACCAAACTTTTAGTTGCCTTTTTTTTATAATAACAGAGTAAGATTAAGTCATGTTTTCATCTGATCTAGATTAAGTGTTAATAAGATTAATCAAAGTTAAATTTCACTATGTTTAAATTTGAGTGTTTTTAGCTTAAGTTATAACTTTGGTGTTTTTTGACGTTAAGTTTTGTTATTCCTTTTATCATAATTAATTTTTAATTATTTTTAATTATGGTTTAAAATTTAAATTCCTTCATGTTTTATTGAAGACATTTGTTTAAACTGCATAGTTATTTTCCTGGAGAGATGAAGATGACTACAACTGAAACAGCTGTGACAGAACGCTGATGAACACCTACTTGTGGATAGCAGTGAATGCAGTCTGTGACACCCTTGATTTCATTGGAGGTTCTATTGTTTGTTATAATCTCTGCAGTTTTGGTGTTCTATAAGTTGCACCAAAAAAAAATAGTGATTGTTATTTACAAAAAAATTAAAAGTTTTTCACTTTAATTCATTTTTAGTCACTAAGACGTGAATGTTTTAAAAATATTATCTTGATTTCCTCAGACACTTACTGATGACATATTCATTGTATAATGTAAATTTATAGATTTCTATGGTGAGCATTATCTATAAAGTGTCGTTGTATTTACAGCCAGCTTTATACACATTTTGATATATCTTTGTGTAATTACCTTTTAGACACGTGTCATTTCAGATTTTTTTGTTTTCTAACTACAGATGCATCTTAGTAAATAACTTATGCAGCTGCTTCTATACAGAGTTTTTTGTTTGTTGGTTTTTACTCTTTTCCTTGTTTAAGAAGATTTGCATTTGCCTACTCCAATGTATCTTTATTATTTTAGTTTCCAGGATTCTAAGAAAATGTGTCATGGTTGAAAGTTAAGTGTTATGAAAGAAACTTCAGATTAAATTAACTGCTGAATGGTTTAATTAGTCAATTACCTAAGACATCTGATCATTTGTTTTATACAAATGCCTTTTAAAAGTTTACAGTGTTTTAAGCATCTTATGGCTGCTATTCTTAAACCCCTTGCTTTGAAAATGACTTAAGAGACATCTTTCCAGATGAGGCCTAAGGCTCTGGCCAAGCCTTGACTTTACCTGGATAGAGAATTTACCAATAAACCCAGAAGTTTTCTGCATCAAAACAATATTCAGGTCAATTTAACTTGACAATTAGTGAATTAATATAGCAGCTGGATTTTACAGTGAGCTTGGAAAATTGTTATCCAGACATGATTTTCCAATCTTCCATTGATTTATCAGCTGTGGCAGACTCTGGGATGAGAGTATATATTTCGTATATTCAGCAATTCATATTACAAATTATTCAGATAAGTTTAATATTGCATAATATTAATTATGCATCTTCTTCAAAAGTTTTTGATTTCTGTAAAGGTGTTATTTCCTATGTGTATACATGTGCAAGTGTTTTATTTGATGGTTTTTCATTGTCATAACAAAAAAACCAAATA